CCTTCCACATGGTTACCCAATAAGGGGATTCCATTACCTGCCCAGGCACACCACAGTGTGAACCCACACTCCCAGTGGAATAGTTAATACAGAGAGAAAGATTTAGAGGGTAATGGATGTTGTGCTGTGATATACTTTGACCTTTCACCTCTGATAGGAAACAGGAGATGCTGAGTAGTGGTTTTGTCTGTGTGCGTGTGTGTGTTCGTGTATGACCATTTATTTAGGTCTTTGTGGGTACCAAATGCCAAAAGTCCCCAGACTGATAACAAAACATGAAAGTGTGTGACATTGTGGGGACATGGGGTTGGTCCTCACAAGGGCATAATAAGACTAAAAGAAGCTTTTATTTGTAGCATTTCCTTTTAGGTCATCAGGTTATTAGCAGGGACCCCTTCTTGCTATATGTAATATAACCAGTTGCTTACAGAGGTATTTCACCATTTCTCCTGCATAATTTAGTTGCTGAAATATAAACAAAGTAATTCAGAGTGGTTTAGTGTGAATGGTTACCTATAGAAAAACTTTGATTTCTTTACAGTTGTTACAGGTACAGTTGGAACCAGGGGTAAAGTCTACAACACAAAGCCATTTTATTTACTATCCAAAACCACCAGTGAACCTACACATCTTCTGAGTTTTTATATGTAATGTTAATGGTAAAATAGTGTAAAAAATAAGTTTGGGGGACTTTTGGGGACTATTTCTCCCTTTACAACACCCTGCATGTATCACCCCACCATGAATGGGTTTTAAAAATGATGTTTTAAGCCAAAACTGTTATCTAAAAACTATGAGTAAACAATTTCTCATACATCAGGCGTCATATTTGTAACTGTCTCTGTAATAACATTCTGTGATGTAGCTTTTAGAGGCATTAAATTCGTTGAAAGTCTGTCTTTTTAAATCAAAATTATTGAATTGTTAATTATTTTTGTTCTTGCATACAAAATAATATGATTGGATTGGCTGGAGGCCCTCAAGTAGGATGTTGCTTAGGACCCTTATATGTTCAGAACTGGCCATGTTCATTATAGGATTAGATGTATTTAGACCTGTCATAATTACTACATATTTTCCCAGTGGTAATAATTGTTTAGGATGAATGCAGTTATTTTCCACAGTTTTCATCTTTCACAATCACATTTTCACATCACAACAAATAGAATGTAAATTGGGTGTGTTTTTATCAGTTGGGTCAAGGCACATACATGTAACTAAAAGAAAGCAGATAGAGACACGTCATCGGGATCATAAACAAAACAAATGTTCTAACTCATTGATGCTATGACACCATTAGAGGGCAGCGGTGAGTAATGTTTGTTTATTTGAGCTCGAGCCGTGTCTGTCAGCAGTTGGTAGCATAGAAGGATAGCCAATCGGTCATATTGACCACTTTGAGCTTGATTAATAGTTGCATACAATGAACAAATACAGTTAAATTGTTAATTGCAATGAATCATCAGCTTAACTTTCATGATTGTAACTGGCCTAGATTTAGGTTCAGCATTTAGCTAAAGTAATAAAGATCACCCCAGATTGACAGGAACACAGCCCTGTGTGTTTGTTTTATAGGTTGATCTTTGTCTATTTGTGGAAAGCAGTTGCCCTCAGATCAAATGTGTGTCATTGTGGGGACATTTAACAGGTCCCCATGAGAGAGTTTTTTTTTATTTTCTGAAAGTACAGCAAAGAGTCAAAAAATGTCTTTTTGGTTTCTGATAAAGTAGGCTTAGGTTTAGGTGTAGCTACAGCAAAGCGTTCAGCAACATTCAATGAAATGTCCTCAAAAGGACATGAATACAAATCTCTAACGTGCGTATATGAGACCTTAATGAAACTCAATACTGCACCTCTGGGGCAAAGGGCAAATGAGTTACACATACAAGCTGGTATGTTTCTGTTTTTGGATCAATATTCGTCTTTTCTCTCCCTTATTCCCTCTCTCCCTCCCTCTCTCCCTTACTCCCCTTTCTCTCTCCTCATCAGTATTTTTTCATTCATTTGATAGTCATGTAGATGTAAAAGTGTGATGTTGATTCCTCTGAGTAATTTGTGTTAACTGTGTGTGTATATGTGTGTGTGTACATGTGTATGTATGTTATGTGTGCACATGTGTGTGTGTCTATGCTGTTTGTGTGTGTGTAGGTGTGCATTAGTGTGTGTGTGTGTCTGTGCGTGTGTATGTGTGTGTACATGTGTGAGAGTGTGTTTCTCTCATTTGGCCCCCCCATAAAGTAGTGGAACCCCTGGGTGGGCTCAATGACCTAGTTTTAACTTTTCCTTTCTCTCACTCTCTCTCCCTCACACACACATAAACACTCTTTTTCTCATGCACACACACACACGCACACACAGACACACACAAACAAAATTTCATGAATATGTCTACATGAATATGTATGTTGTAAAAGCATTGTGTTGTGGAGCGACTCTTAGTAATGAGATCACACTCATCACATATAATATCGCCTTGGGTTCAACTTCTGTGTGTGTGCATGTGTGTGTGTAAGTGTTGGCACACACTGTCCTTTGATGAGTGATGATGGGGTTTCTGTTGCTTTGGGCTGCGCTCCCCTTGGGTTTTATTAGCATTAACTTGTTTTAGATCTGCTCTTTGCATATTTCACACAATCACACTCATTCACGCTTACAGTTTCCTCTTCAGGATGAATACAGTTGTAATGAGGAAACGATAGAAATAGATTTCGCTCTCTGACCTTTTCAGTGTGTCTGCTCATATGTGTGTGTGTACCATATAGGAGCACTTTGTAGTTGTACAATTACAGATTGTAATCCGTCTGTTTCTCTGCACTCTGTTTCACTCTGTTCTTCAATGGTCAGGACCACCACAGGGCAGGTACTCACTGGGTGGTGGGTCTTTCTGAGAACACCAGCAGCTTCTTTGTCTGAGTTGTCTTCTTACAGTGGAAGGATGGACAGAAACAAATGTGGATTTTTTCAAATCTGAAGCGAAAGTGGAGCTTTCTTTTTTTTTAATTTAGTACTGTTTGTCTGATCGTGACAGTCTTAGTGCTCTACCAGCTCTTGCACAGTTTCCCCATTTCCTCTGTATATTTTAATCATTTTTTGAACTTTGGTTTTAAAAACTTCTTTTTCCACTTATTTTCCTTTGACTTTCCCTTCCTTATCCAAGTGCACCTTATATCCACTCTTCTAAAAAATGGATCCTCCCGAGTGGCGCAACCGTCTAAGCGTTGGCCCTATCATCAGGAGATCGCGAGTTCGATCCCTGGTGATGCTACAGCCATCCGTAGCCGGGAGTCCGAGAGAGCACACTTGGCCTCGCTCTCTCTGGGTGGGTGGGATGGCCCCTCCTTCTCCCCCCATCACTCAGCGGGATGCTAGTCAGCGCAGGCGTCTGTTAGCTGACGTAACAGATCTGGCGGTTGGCGCTTTCCTCCGAGGGCGTTCGGCTGTCCAGTGACGTTGCGTGAGCGGCAGCTCGAAAAGAAGCGGTGGTTGGCTTCACAGGTCTCGGAGGAAGCCTGTGTTAGCCTTCACCCACCTAGCGTTGATAGCATCGTGTGATTGGGGGAGTCCTGACTAGCGGGTGGAATTGGAGACGACTAAATTGGGGAGAAAATCGGGTAAAAATTTAAAAAAAAAATTTTAAAAAATGGATAATTTGTACTTAATGGCCAGCTTGACTGGGCCTATGCCTTAATTATGTTTATTTTATTAAAATAAATGATTGAACGTTCCATTTTATTATTTGCAAAACAGTCAAATCACTACCAAAGGTATACTGAATGTTACAGTAGTGACAATCGTGTCTCATTTTGAGCAGAACTCAAAAATCACATCTTTGAATAGTTTTATATGCATAAAATCATGATATTTTTCATTAAAACACAAAAAAGTTTACTTAATCAGAGACAAGGCTGTGTTTCAGTAGTGACAATTCTTAATGTTACACACTGATTTTCAGACTTTGGGACATATTTATTTCAAAACAATGGGATCTAACTGGTCACCATGCAGCCATGAGGGACAGGGATGCAGTCTCTCTTCCAGTTTGCATTGAAGTCCCTGTAGTTGCATTGAAGTCCCTGAGTAATAAGCCTTAGTATGTAATACGCCTTAGATTTTAAGGAGTTAATTATGTTTATTTTATTCACTTTAATGATTAAACTTTTTATTACCACCAAAGCAATCATAACTCCACTGAAACTAATGTTTCAGTACTGACTGTTTTGGTACTGACAATTTTAGCTAATTTTGAGCAGAACTCAAAAACACTAGCCAGTACATGACTAGCTAACTTTGAAGCTTTAAACAGTTGTAAACACATAAAATCATAATGTTTTTTATAACGTAATTGCCGAAAATCTGTTTCGGTAGTGACAATTTTTAATGTTCCACATTTATTTTTTCAGACACATTTACTTCAAAACAGTGAGATCTAACTGCTCACCATGTGGCTGTGAGGGACAGGGCTGCAGACTCACTTCCTGCTCTAAAATGCAGGGGTGTGGCTAAAATAAGACTCCGCCTATGGACTAAAACTCATTGTGTTTCAGTAGAGACGTGAAAACTTGGCACAGCATGTTTTGAATATTTTTTTCGTTTAAAAATTAAACTCCAAATCTTTTAACTTAAAATCAAAAATCTTATAAAAAAATTTTAAAAATACAAAAACTAAGTAAGTATTATTTTCACAAGTGTAAATTTAGGCCTTGTAAATGTCTAAGCTCTGAAGTAATTCAGCAGGATAGTCCGTATACGTACACACATATAAGTGTGTGTGAGCGCGTGTCCCCCTCCTCATCCTCAATCTGGTAAGAACTTCTCACTCTGTGTGTGTTTGTGTGTATGTGTGTGTGTGTGAGTGTGTGTGTGTGTGTGTGTGTGTGTGTGTGTGCACGCTCCTCCTCGTGCTGCACATCACCCCCCCCCTCTCTCTCTGAGGTAACAGTGTGCTCTCTGTACGGAGCCACATTCAGTCTCTGGCTTTACAGCCCTGAAAGAGGGTCTAAAGCTCTTTAGCGCTCTGAGTTCCTGGATCTCAGCGTGTCTGTGCATGGTGAAGAGAGTGCAGACTCCGCCGCCTTCTCCTCCTCACCCCACTGCTAACGGGACCATCCGGTAAGTCCAGCACTCAGCTCAGCTTCACTCACGACACGTGCTGTCATCCCCACCTCTGCTCTAATTACCAGTGTTTAGATAGTTTCATCACGAGACACACACCAGCTTTAACTGCTACTACTGTCTTCACACACTTTGATTATGTGGCACTTTATTACAGGCTGTTGGGGCTGTTTTGGCTTAAGCTATTAATATCCATATCTAAAATAGGTCTGAGTGTGTCTGAGCACAAAATCCATCAAACCGTATGTTTCTATCATTTTTGGTCACGTGGGACCAAATTTGACTGTGAATTGTCTGACTATACCAAATCCCATCACTTTAGACAATTCAGAGCTAAATGTAGTTGATGAATGGGTTAATTACTGTTGCTTGTGTAGTTTGATTTGATAGTCCCTTATAATAATAAGTCTTGTTAATGCCTTTATTGCTTTTCTTTATATAGTTCAATCACTTGACATGCTAACTCCCATTATTACTTTGTTTCCCACTATATTTATCATTGCTATTTTTTGCTTTGATTACATAGCATATTAATTGTTGTTTGTATAGTTTGATTAGCACATGCTGCTATCATTACGTAATGTCTCTCATTTATGCAGTTCTTTTAATTAGCACCTACCACTGTTGCTTCTTGTAGTTGGATTTACTGCTAGCTGCTCTTGTTTAATAGCTGTCCTTGCTTTATTATTGTTTATATAGCTTGATTAAATGCCACATATCATTTGTTGCTATAATTGCTATTGTTTATGTAGTTTGATTAGATAGCAAGTGCTATTATGGATCTAAACGGCATTGCTTTTATAGTATGTTTATATAGAACGTCCCAAAATTGCCTTTATCTTTGTAGATTAATCATGCAGAACACTATTAACAGCCATTATTCATTTAATTGCCCTTGTTTAAATAGCATTATTGGTATTTTTGCTCATTGCTATTGTGTGTGTTTTGATTATATAGCACGCTGCTTTTGTTGTATATGTTGCTTGATTAGCATATGATTTGTAGGACTGTACACATGGTTATATAAGGTTATATAGCATTTAATGTTTGTTGTTTAGGTAGTTTAATTAATTAGCATATAATCACCTTTCTTTATTTACTTTGGTTATATAGTATAGTGTATTTCTATCGTTATATAGTTTACATATCGCATACTATCATTGCTAGAAGTGTTTATATACACATGCTAGTTTTACTATTATTGTTTCAGCTGCTGTTATTTATATACAGTTTGATTACACAATGCACTTCCTCTGTATCCCTCATACAGATTGATTATATAGCCCTTGCCATTATTGCTATTTTTGTATATTATACCTTAGAGCGCTTGAACAGTCTAGACAATATAATCCTTCACTTCTAGTCTGCAGTAGAAGCACTGACCTAAAACAGTGCCGATGATTAAAGACATTCACCTGCATATGTGCTCTTCTGGGGGAGTGCGGGAGGAGGCTCAAAGAACAATAGGAGAGACCTCATTGCAGGCAAAAAATTTAGAGTTTCATAGCCTAGGCTGTGGTGAACAGGGTGTATTACATCATATGGTCTATGGTTTGATGCAGCATGCATCATTTTTACCTGCAGCCCACCTGTAGGCCACAGGTGCAGTCAAAGCTAATGTCTGTAGCGGCGTACGGTGCCGCGCAGTGTTTTGACACGTAGAGGGGATGCCCCAGTGTCACCGTGGCATGCACGTTGACCGCGTGAGCATATGTGTACAAGTGAATGCTCCCGAGAATCAGAGGTCAGCCCAATCTGCAGCTTTCTCTGACAGCCAAGAAACGCGCATAAGCAGTTTTTATACGTGTTTGGCCCAGTCATATTTTGACATACAACAAGACTTTAAAGAAGTGCTGACCAGCGCCTGCTTGACTTCAAGGCACTACAGGCTATAAAACATTATGATTGAAATGCACAGATGTAACTCTCCTTGGTTCAAATGTGATTAATCAACAATAAGTACATGATAAGTAAGCGATCTATATGACGATAGTACATATTTTAAATTCTTCTACTAGAACATAGCCTGATAGACAGATCCATTTGTTTGCATTTAGTACATATGTGGATCATTCTACCAGTTAAAAACACAACTTGCCTAAAATCTTTTCTTAAATGGCCCACTGACAGGCCCAAAGTTTTATTGCATATTTCTACGACATAAGAATAGCTCTACCAGTTTGCATTGAAGTCCCTGTAGTTACTGAGTAATAAGATTTACTGTGTAACAAGCCTGGGATTTATGCTTAATTTATTAAAATAAATGATAAAATGTTTAATCATTTATTAAAATAAATGATTAAACATTTTATCACCACCAAAGAAATTATAACTCCACCTAAACTTTACCAAATGTTTTAGTAGTGACTGTTTCGACAATTCTAGCTAATTTTGAGCAGATCTAAAAGACTCACCAGTACATGACTTGCAAACAGAGCTTTGATCAGTTGTACACACATAAAATCATATTTTTCATAAGTTAATTGCAGAAAATCTGTGTTTTGGTAGTGACAATTTTAATGTTCCACACTGCTTTTCAGTCTTTGGGATACATTTACAGTTAGATCCTTTAAAACAATAGGATCTAACTGCTCACCATGTGGCCATGAGGGACAGGTATGCAGTCTCACTTCCTGCTCTAAAATGCAGGGATGTGGTTAAAATAAGGCTCCGCCTATGGACTAAAACTCGTGTTTCAGTAGTGACATAAAAACATGGGACACTAATTTTCAAATATTTTTTTTTATTTCAACATTAAACTCAAAATTAAATCCGATATCTTTCTATTTCACTTTAAAAGAAATCAAAAAGGTTTTGACTAATCATGAACATAATCACCTGAATTACTTTTATAAGATTACTGTAATGAGAATTTGTATTTGCAAGGATTTATTTAATGTGTTGTTATCTGTCTCACTGCTTTATAATGGTATAACCTCATTTAATTAGGATCACCAATAAATTGTCAGTAGGTGCAACCACACGTTAATAAAATGTCATAATTTCAAGTTATTTACGACAGCTGAAAATTTGTATAAACCAGCCTTTGCCCTTGAACACCCATACAATCCTTTGCCATTGAACACAAGGTTGTATTTTTTAATGAATAAACATTATTACTTTATTAATAATAATACATTTGTTGTGGGGTCGCACCACATGACTCGCTAACTGAACCCAAAAAAGGTCTAAAATGACCTTTTTCAATATTTATGAAGGGACTAGTGGGGACGTTTTTGTGAGGCAATACCCTGCCCACTCGATCTTAAAAGCATGTCAGAATAAAAGTCCTTTGTTTCTGGCTGTGCCACATAACATTTGCAGAAATCAAAACTTACAAATGTTTTGCAGTTAGTTTAATACTCTAAAATACTTTGTACTAAAATGTTATTATTTCAAATAGGAATCATGTTAAATTATTTTATTTACAATTTAAATTACTAAATTGCAATATAATTTAAAATAACATACTACCAATAGAGAAAACCTCAAAGTCTTTAAAAAAAAGAAGTGCATGTATGTCATACACTGATGCTTAGCAACTGTTTCTGATGCATTTGAAGGGACGCATCCCTTGTATTCACTTAAAAAGAAAAGGAAAACCACAATGAAATGACTGGCGTTGCAACAAGACAATGCAAGATGCCACACTGCTTGTCAAGACATGATTTGAGGAGGAATTCAAGTGAGGATACAGCCAGGAAAAAATATTTAAATCTCAGAACTTGAGGGATGATGCTAGGAAATGTGTAGAGGAGACAAATCCAACCACTATGGATTGCCTGTAGACAGCAGCCTAAGCTTACATGGAGAGCACAGCCTTCAGATCATTTAACTCTTTAACATTCACGCACTTGCAATACTCACTCCCACTGTTTATTAAGAGCTCATCATTTTGCATTGTTATCTGTGTAGGTACTGAATAATGACTGGTATATCAGTGGGCTGGTGAGTTAGTTAGGTTTCAAGGATTTACTGTCATTGGCGAAAATTCTAGAGATAAAGCATCAGTTTTGCTTTGAAGTCGCTACTTTTATATTATAACGAATGCTTACCTCAAATAGAGAGTTTGAATGGTTTAATATTCTTTAATATTCTTTTATTGCTCTTTGATGGTTGAGAACTAATAGTCAAAGCTGACAATTCACCTGATAACTGGCAGTCACACTAGTTTGACCACATAAAATGACATTGGCCGATATTGTCAGTTATCATAATTGATTCTATTTCAAATTGGTATTTCTATCCATGATAAAATGTATATATTTTGACTCCCCAATATGTGGTGCATCTGTGTACCACTGCATTAACATTCAACACACCGCAACATATCCTATCCATTTTTGGTGGGAAGTATCGGTTCCATCTGACACGGCCGCTCGGTGCATGATGTGTCTGACATGTCAAGTTTCGGTGCATTCAGTGCATCTTAAAGTTGAGCCGAGCTGAACTTTATTTGAATGAATCCAGCCAATGTAATGCACTTACCCAGTCAGGTGCAGCTCACAACTCTATGCTACATGGAATATCAGTGTCAAAAGCTCAGAAATAAACACAAGTGTTTCCCTCCAAAATTTAAAACCTTTGCAGTGTAACAATCGGTTGGATGTTAATAAAATGAAATGTTGACTGCAAGTGGTCAACGACTTAATCAACGACCTAAATCCTAATCTGTCCAAGTTTAACTTTATTAACATTTTGGAATGTGTTAGTTATGTTAATGATTTCAAATCGTAAATAATGAACAGAATTTATTGAAATACCACTGCTGCGATAATTCTGCAATCATTTCCGCTAGTACCCCTATGGAATTCCAATGATATCTTAGGACGGGGCTAACTGTAGTGTACAATTGCTCTACTGTTCTGGTTATATTGCTGTTTATTAAAACTAGGATAAAACTGAGACTCTGGTTCCTGAGCGTAATCTGAATTCTGTGTGCTATTTTGTTCTGGGCAAACCTTGTTGTGTGGAGACACTGATAAATGAAGGACAAC